TGGCATACATTTACACACAGAAAGAGCTGGGCAACAACCTGGCCACCAGCTCCGCCCGTAGCGAGCAGCCTGTGTTGATGAAGGAGAATATCGATGAGGGCATCAAGGCTGCGTACATCGTAAGTAATCGTCGTGTTTCTTATCCCCCCCACTATTTTGATTTTACGGCGCAGAGAACTTCTTCTGCTTTGTAAACCAACAATACTCCTCTTACTCATCGTTTGAACCGCAACACTTACTGATATACTTCGTAGTACACGCAATGAGAGGATGGCCGGGAGATAAGGATGTGCTTCTTCTCTGCTTAAATGTCTATAGTTTTCTCGCCTAGTCAGTACTCTGAAAGATTTTGTGACTTGATTTCGAGTATCCCGAACGAAGTATTTTTGAAACTCCATTTTATCCGTCGGAAGTGTAGATCTGATCTTATGCGATTCATGACTGCTCCGCCCTCTTTGCCAGCCCCTGTCTAAGCTTGGAAATGTTTTGCGAGATCGTAATCTGCGCGAATCGTAAATGTCGTTACTGTGTACATATCTGTAGACGGTTCCCTGAGCAGACCGACCGGTTCTCTAAAGTCGTCCAGAGGGTCTCTCGTATATTTTCGATCTGGTTACTTTGTCTTACGCTGACGGGTACTCCCGCAATTAGCGACCGCACTGATCACCCTACGTAGCCATCCCATGTTACCTCCGATCATCGACAGCACAGACTACTTGTAATCCTCGACCACCGATACTGCTCCTGCAATCTTACCAATTCGATTTTGCCGTATCATTTTATCGCGCAGAAATAAATGTTTGGAATATATTGATTTTCGCGCTTTTATTAAAACCATAACTATTACGAGTATTATACAGTGGTACAGCGGTTACGTATCGTAACCCTCAACGATCTACAGCCTTTTTTTTTTAATCTAATTGGGTTATGGTGAAATAAGGTTCTTGGAAATCCCGTGCCTAGCGATCACGTTATTGCCTGAGTGATTTAGAAATAGTAGCCATGAGTCGACGAGGGTTACGATACTTAACCGCTATACCTCCGTAGTTACTATTAAGAGCGTCAACCTTTAACTACCATAGCCTCCCCCACCTTTGTTCTCCCTATCTGCTACTATTAATCTACCACGGTACAGGCCTAAGTATTACCCCTCGAGGGTAGGGTAACCAGGGGGTTTAAAGTGGGAACTGAACTTTTGAGGCACCCTCGAGGGGTAATACTTACGCCTGGGACGTATTATTATTTACGGAGGTACTGGCCTTGAGTCTTGTTTCCGCCTTCGATAAGTCTAGTAGCATAATAAGCAATATTTTCTGCCTATGAGATAAGTGTATCCAGCTTAAGGCAGTATGATAAGATACGAGGTCTATTCTTCGGCGGCCTTCCGCAAGCTCTGGCGCCAGGAGACCTCGCTCCGCTCCGGCCAAAGTGCAAAGCTGTTTTCCGAGGCCTTTAACATTTAAAGCTAATAATAAGACTTGACGTCTCAACTTTTAGTGCCCTTTCTTAAAGTAGGCGAAACAATTACATCATTGATTTGTAATAATTGTTTTATTCAGAATATTCTAAGCGAGGTCAGGTGATATATCAGAACCTACCACGGTGCAGGCCTAAGTATTACCCCTCGAGGGTGCCTCAAAAGTCAAGTTTCCACTTTAAACCCTTTGGGTTATCCTATCCTCGAGGGGTAATACTTACGCCCGGGACGTAGCATCAGAATATTCGACCCGACTTTAATTTGCAATACCATTACGTATTCTATTAATAATATAGAAAGCTTTGAAACTATCTAATAGTTTATGTAAGGCCCGAAAAGGTCCGTTGTTTTAGTACCTTGAGCAAGCAAGCAATTCTGACTCGTTTTCATTACTTCCTTATTCTTTAAAATTTACTTGGTACAAGCCCGAAATACGTACAAACGCTGTCTAAGCGCAATTCTAGAGGTTTCCGTTCACAGGGCTCTTGTGCAGGGGGTACTACCAACGATACTACCGGTACGTATAACGATAACAATTCAAGCAGCATTGCCAAGTATCTAGCATGCACAGACTAGAATTGTGCATTACTACCCCCTCCTATGAATAAATGTCGAAAGTATAATTTCGCAAGGGATTTTACCAAGGCTTGCACCAATCAACTTATAAGGATTCAGCCTTGAAAAGTATCTTTGAGCCAGTATTTAGTCTATGTAGTGGAGTCGACAAGGCTTTGAGCCATTAAGAAACCACCGCTCTATGATTTATGGGCCTAAACTGGGTCCGACATTTATTTATGGGGGTAGTACTACTACGTATTTACCCATGATACGAAGTATATGGTAGCTGTGATAATACGCCAGGTCTCCTAAGCGATATTTCCATCAGCGCCAATCCCTTGGCTAACTCCCTTCTTTCCTTCTCATATTACCTCACTTTTTCTTCTTTTCTCTTGGCGCTTCCTTAGGTTCACCGAGGTTGACTACAGTCAACCTTCTTATACTACGTATGTAACTTATAGCTTCCTTCGACCTCTATTCTCGATAATTATTAATCCTAAGTTGTTATCTTGAGATCTTCTTAAGTCCATGTGATCCCCCGCTCTCCCGTAAATACCCCAGGTAATCGCTTAAGATCGCTACAATAGCAATTCAATTTCGATACCTCAAGCATTAAATTATCGCTTAGCACTAGCACGGACTAAAACCTTTAATAAAACCTACGCTAAAACTCTTGCTTTTAATGAGCTCGAAACGGAATAAAGTCTCGCCGATTCGCTTTTTGAATTAACTACGGAAACGAACGCTGTAAGCTATAAGCTTTCGCCTTTTTTTAGATTTCGCGAAAGAAAACCTAGTATTTAGCTTAAAAAAGCAAGCTATACTCCTTTATGCTCTACTATTATACTAACTAATTAAGATATGTACCACGGTACAGGCCTAAGTACGTACCACGGTACAGGCCTAAGTATTACCCCTCGAGGGTGCCTTAAAAGTTTAGTTTCCACTTTAAACCCCCTGTTTTCCCTACCCTCGAGGGGTAATACTTACGCCTGCGACGTAGTAGTATTACACTATCGAAGGTGCCTCAAAAGTTTAGTTTCCACATTAAACCCCCTGGTTGGCTTACCCTCGAAGGGTAATACTTAGGCTTGTACCGTGGTACTACTACGTCCCAGGCGTAAGTATTACCCCTCGAGGGTAAGGCAACCAGGGGGTTTAATGTGGAAGCTAAACTTTTGAGGCACCCTCGAAGGGTAATACTGATAGAATCAGGAGTGCAGAAGGTGTAGTAGATTAGGTATGAGAGTACTGAGAGCTATAGCAAAGGAGTAGCCAAGAGACCAGCCAAAACGCTAGTCCATACAAGGGAATACAAGCAGAACCTAATATTCCAACATCCTCCTTGCTCTTTGACTTTCAATACAAAATTAACAATTGCAACTGATTTTAAATTTCAGCTTCCAAATTGATTTTCTTCTTCGAAGTTCTACCGAAGTTCTAAAGCGAGGTTTCAAGTGATTTTTTACGCTTTTCATAGCAGCAAGCAGGCCTTATTAACTCTTATAATACGCTTTAATCGTATAGTATTTATATCTTTTTTATAAGAAGTTCAGTAATTCGGTAGCTCAAGAGCTTACGTTATAATATAAATGTTGGTGTAGAAGCATCAAAAAGGAGGTGTCGTATAAAAGCCCGACATTAAGGCTAGACCTCATGGTCCTCACAAGGAAGTGCAAAAAAAAATGAGTGGAAAGCTCGTTAATTGTTCTAGCTAAGAGATGTATGCCTTCTTACAAAAGATAGGTCCGCCTAGTATGGCCTTAATGGCCCTGGCAAAAAGCATATCAGGCGAGGTGTTTATATCCGTCCCCTTATAAAATAAGTAGCCGCCCTGTGACGACACGCCAAGTCTTTTGGACGTATCTCCATATGCGTTAAGCTACCTCCTTCCTTTTTCCTTCGTATTCTTCGTATTCTTTTATTCCCTTTTTTTGACCTATAAACTATAATTCACGAGTCCTTAACGCTTTTACTTGCGTATATATAAACCCTAGCTACCTTCGACCTTTACACTCGGTAGTTATTGATTTTAAGTTATATGGTGACAGATGGCGTATACCTAATTAGGTGGAGCAAAGATCAAGGGTCCAAGAGATGGCGATAAAAGTGTTTGATTTATTTAAGAGAGCAAAAGAGCAACTGTAGATATGTATATATATGGTACGTGGCTTTTAAGAAGCTTAGCAGGCACGTGAGAAGCACGTGCAAGACTATATTGCATAACATACCTGTCGGTATACCTATATCGACCTTAGCTAGCTAGCTAGTAATAGTTAAAAGAAGTTCACTCGTGAACCATGGTTTACGGGCCACTTGGCATGCCTCGCTTAGTATTGTAGAAGCACCCAAAAAGATATGCCGCATAAAAGCCTGGTTCTGAGGCTGGATCTCATAATCTTTTGTTGTGCGGAACAGGCATGGTTCCACCCAAGCTATATATGATATGTTATGTGACCTCGCTTAGTAGCGCCCTTGGCACACTAGAGCTCTTAAGTACATATATATAAATCCTAACGAGCTTTTTAAATAAAATATATTAAGTTTCATTTAATTTATAGAATTTCCTTTTGATCTTAATGCTAATAAGCATTATAATTAAAAGCTATATTCGCACTCACGAGCTATTTAATTAATTTTTAACAACTTTCGAATTAATCGAAAGCGGATTTTATAAGTCACTTTAACGCTACTTCGCTATAATTTTTATTTTTGCAATCTGTTTTTTTTAATTATATTTATTCTTTACAACTAATACTTATTACTTTTAAGAACTTTAATTAATTTTTAAAAGCTCTAGTTATAAAATCAATTGCTATAATAATAAACGATAAAGTAAAAGAAATTCTTTTAATTAATAAAACGAACTTTATAAGTCGTAGCGATTTTTTAAGATAGATTACGAATTACAAATACTTTATTAAGCGCTTTAATATAAAACAATACGCAGCTCTTCGTATTAACGTAAAAGAACTTGCTTTTTTTATCGAGCAAATTAAATTAAAAACGAAGTCTATTATAAAGATAATAACGGAGCTTAATAACGAATATTATTAGAATTAAAAACGCTAACGAAAGGCTTAAGATAAATAGCACTTAAAAGCTTTTGCAAACGATCTTAATAGACTTTTACGATTACGCGAAGCTAAGTTCGAAGACGTTTGAAAAGCGTATAACGATAATATAAAAGAATACAATTTCGCTATTATTAATTAAAAGATCTTAAGTAAT